CCATCTGCGCCATTAGCTTCTAAAAGTCCAATCTTTATCCTTATATTCCGGTAAACAAGAAATCTAATTATTTAAATTTAGACGTAAGCGCAATGTTCCATGAAAAATGCATTGGCAAAAACGTAATGGTTAAGACTGCCAATGCAAACACAGTCTAGTGTGGGTTCCATATCCTTCGCAATCGATATTGTAACCTGTACTCTCTCGCTAAACATGCAGAATGCTATATGGAGGCATGTAAATGTTGACTTTCAATTTAGGTGTCAGAGGTGGGATGAAATCAATGACGTAGCGTCATTCATAAACGAAATCAATTCTCAGGGAAGCACCCTCATCTTAGCTTCTTCCAAGCGAACATGATCCAGTAGAGAGTCTGTCTGTTTCAGTCTGGACATGGCACGAGGGATGTATTTAACAGAAGGAGTCATATTTCCATTCATTAATAATATAACGCTGATATTAGATTCATGAAATGTAGCAATCGGTTGAAACTCTGGAATGTAATGTCAGACAGAATTAAAAATCATTCTTGACTTTCTATTCTGGTTTGATTACATTTACTTCGGAAATATTACAATTCATTTCTTTTCTTATTACATAAGTAAATGCCTTTATTGACCATACCAGTGAAGACCCTGCTTAGAATTGATCTTGATCAACCCATGCTTGTCTTGGCAATTTACAGGATTGCGTGGTCAGGCTCGCTGATGCATGTCATTGTATCCCAATTGCGTGGATCGATGCTCATGATGTCAATCACTTGCTTGTCTTGTTCAGAAATCGATTTATTTACAGACCACCGTCATACAGCTGGAACAATGCTGATTGCAAGCAACAAACAAAAATACAAACAAACAAACAAAACAAACCTACAATTCACCAACATTAAAACGTGAAATCAATATAACCTTGGTGTCTAAAGTCATATACACGCGTGATACCAACATGGCATCCGCCCTGCAACGTGACTCAAAGCAACATTGACACTGGCGTGATCCGGCCATCAGCTCTTCCACCAGAGTCCGTTAAACCTGACTCCATTTCTCAAGTACTGTGGGTAAATGCCAGTGCTAAGGAGACTGTGGGCGTTTGTGTCAGCTGGAAAATCATGAGGATCTTGTTGTACAAATACACTTGTCTTCAATATTCTTGAAACGTGACCGCCGACGGACGTAAGCAATCCACAAGCAAAATAGGAACTGATTCCTTAGTTTAAACATTTAAATAAAAATGCTGTGAACAGTTATTCTGTAATAATTCAGTATTAAACAATCATATTTCAGAAATAAGACATACAGTCACTAATACCGATCTCAGATCTCGCATCTGATACACAAGGGGTGGTGGGTAGCCTAGTGTTTAAAGCGTTCGATCGTCACGCCGAGGACCGGGTTCGATTCCCCGTATGGGTACAATATGTGAAGCCCATTTCTGGTGTCCCCCGCCGTGATATTGCTGGAATATTGCTAAAGGCGGCGTAAAACTAAAATCATTGTATTATGAAATTTCGCACTTCGAAAACTAGCTGTATTTGCATGTTTCATGGAATATGTAAAGTCAATATACAGCTATTACGCTACGAAAAAAACACACTAATGACTTGTTTAATGGACGCATTGATGGAAATCAATACTTAAGGATGTTTATCTTCACGTGTTTCTGAACATCCCCGCAGCTACATGTGTACTTATAGATTGTGAAGTCGCCATTACAACTGTCTGGTTGGTGTAGCATATAGAACAAACACAACGTCGATTAAGTCCATTGTTCCGGCAGCGTCACGACATGAAATTACATTGATTCCTGATGCTCGACATAGAGGCAATGCCATGGGGTACAATACTCCACATTCGGCTTCATTGGTAATAACAAGGTTTCGAAAAGGAGAAATAATTGTTGGCATTTCTCATGCAATAGTGATGAGCATGTGGGTGTCTATTGCAGCCAATACGGACAGCGTGCAGTTGAAAATAGTTATTCCGGATCTGCCTGGTTCGGCAAAAAATTGCTTTCCGGAAATTACCGTTAGTGACTGAATGACTTTGGAATAACGGTATTTCAGTTTCACAGGGTGTCAGCTGTTGAGGAGAGCCTGAAGTGATGCTGGTTTCAACTACTACTCTAGAGAAACCCTTCGAGAACGGATATGGTGTTTAACAATACTATACAATTAAATATTTAGTGATAGTGACTTTCTTTGAACGTTTAGAATCCTAAGCAACAAGAGATATTGCCAGAAAACAAAGATGGCGTACTCACAGGCCAAAGAGCTTTCCGTCCAGCTGACTGAAGTGCACGTTTTTTAAAAAGAGCGCAGCTACTAAATTCTAGTGTTTGTGACTTTCTGTGGGCAATCCCAATCGTGATAAAATATTCATCGAGTTGTATCTACAGGGCAAGAGTTGTTACCAGACAATAAAGATGATTCCCCATCATGTCACAGAGCCGTCTCCCCGTGGACTTAAGGAATTCAAAAGGAACGAAACAACCGCCTTGGGCTACTCCTCTACTATCTCGCTCCCTATTCACCGTACACTCTTTCTTTATACATGCTATACCACTCAGACAGACGAGCCACGTGACTCAATGGTCAGCAAAGTTCACTGGTTCCCGAGGACGTCTGTGTTGTTACCTATTGCCCCCTAAAGAATCGTAAGGTGAAATAACAGAGTAAGATAGAATTGTCTTTATTATTGGATCTCTTCTTAAACTCCATGTAGGATTATACTCCAAGCTGGTATTTAATCAGCAATCATTTATTACATTGTGACACTCCATACATGTTCGTAAGTCTTAAATGATCAGTGTAGGTTATAGCGGAGCTACATATAGCAGAAACATAATTTCTGACTCAATGTACAGCTGACCGTTTATTGGACAGCACCAACTTTTAGCATGGTTTAAACATCTGTAAGAGTTTTGCCACTTAAATGAATGCGTAATCCATAAACACAGTTAATGAATTATGATAGATCGTTGTCTGGTAGAAGCCTGACATTTCTCATGAAATCAGACCCGATGGTAAACTATGAAAGCCCCAAAGGGACACAATTGCATTAAGACTTTGATTAAGCTCCCACCACTTGTGCCATATCTTCATTTACTCTGCAGCAAATATAAATCCTTCCCCAAGGGACAACTAGGATGACTGTACACAAACGTGGTCTTGTTTAAACCCAATGGGATATTGGAAGTTTTCCATAGCCATTCGATTATTTCTGCTGTCATAACATATCGCGCTGAGGAGAACGGTACAGGGGATATTTGTGCGCCCGTCTGTGGTGTTAGCTGCTGGTAATATGATCGGTTATGTTATGTAAATAACACTACCATGTTGCATTGACGTGACTGAACATGGAAAATAGCAATTATTTTGTCTGAATGTCCGACGTGGGAAGGGAAAGAGCATGGTGTCTTTACAATAAAGCCATTTTGTAGCTGGAACAAGTCTTTGGTTAGACTTGTTCAAAACGTAGACGCAGATTGGGTCTGTGTGTATGTATTGGTTGTTATTGATGAACTGAACATATTCGGTATTTTAGTCTGTATTATATAAAACAGAAAGTCAGATACAGCTGAACCTCAGTGTTGATTAATTGGGATGCTGAACACCTCCATTAATCCGTTTGAACAAACGAACATTCTGGCATATTTTCTAAAAATGTATCTTAAATACAGACAAAAGCTGTTCAAAGTTATCTCTGCTGACGCGAGGATTGGTGTAATGATGTGAGATGTGATGAGATTTAGGATGAGTTTGGGTATGTTACTGCAGCTTTATATTTGCCTGGTAAAGTAATTCAACAGACACCTGATTAAGGGACAACTGGCTTAACATGTTGTATATAGAATCCTCACAATATCATGAGTGCGTTAAAGGTTGACTACGCTCTGGTTGATTGGCCATGATTGGTCAAAATTGATCGAATTCCCTTATCACCTCATTGTTTGCTAGTTCAAGTTCAAGCACATCAGTTCGGCAATTAATGATTACAACACTTACACAGAGACAGTGTCTTAGGTTGACACGTTGTTCTAATTCTGTTGTTTTGATCTAGGCAGAATATTGGCACTAGTGACTGAAGCAGAGTGTCCCTTTAACAACCATCCAGAAATACTGTGTATTGGTTGAGATAAGAAAACATCTGATTTGCTTGGAACAATGTCGGAATAGGAAATGCCATTTGATCATCTTTTGTTATAAGTATATATCTACAGTACAGGGTGTGTCATTTGCCTCATATCAGGATGCCTTCTTTTCAAGTTCTCGGCAGAGCATCTTTGCGTTGCCCGGATGCTTCCACCTCCAACCAGTGTGAAGTACCATCCAAGAGGGAAGAGCGAGGCGCTATCAGAACGTTAATAGCACTCTGGGAACGGGGAAGTTAGAATTATGTGTGGGGAGAACTGGGGTCAGGTTACTGCAGACATATTGATTGGGTCTGAATTATTTAATTTGTTCCTCAAACTACCCATTCTGTCCCGAGCATCCTTACGAGAGCCGTTAGGTCAACCGAACTGGATGAGAGAAAGACATTCTGGAATAAGTGGTCTGGCGCACTCTTCTCGATAGAAAAAGAGACTAGGGCCATGTGTCTTATCTTCACGGCTCGCCACGAACTCCGATGGTGAACACGTTGTGGGATTAAAAAAATAGTGTGTGGGGGGGGGTTTTGTAATTATTATTTATTGAGGGTGGTGGGAATGGGAGGACAGCCCTCACTCTTAGACACCAGCACGCTTCCGTATGTGTACAAGTTGTGTAGGTAGTGATACAAAGTCTTATTAACTTATTAATTATGATCATGGCGTCCATTCTATTGATCGAGACACCAGAGACTGATTATTCCCTGGAGATTTGTGTTTTAAAATCTTTGAATTTTTTTTTTAGAACATTTCAATGTACATGTGGGTTATTCTTTCAGTCGAAAAGAGCAAAATATGCCCCGAACGAGTTCATCACGTTGTCAATATTGTGATGAGATCTGTATCTGTTTCAGTTCCGGAGTCAGGGCCGTGGGGAACTGCTTGTGTCTCTCTGCTACCAACCCGCCGCGAACAGACTCGGAGTGGTCGTTCTTAAAGCCAGAAACCTCCCCAAGATGGACATCACTGGACTCTCAGGTAGCGAGAACACCCTTCTACAATCACAAGCAAACACTGCCTAACAGAGCCCAGTGAACGCTTCCGCTATTGCATAAGCATGTGTTTATGAATCACTACCAAATAGTAATGATACCAGGTCCTCAAAAACATAAACATATTCTGGCCCAAAGGTGGCACCCACCACAAACTCATACCAAGGCGACTAAACCTTTTCGGTGCAATGTCATGGCGCTCAGACACGACAAGGTGTATGTCATATCCTCATCAGATTAAGGCACAGTCTTAATTATATACGCTCGTTTTAGCAGGTTTATCAAGACAAAGAAATCATATATGCTGGCATGAATGTCTCGCTCACACGTACCGGTAACTCAGACGCTTTGTCTCTGGTTGAATAGAATGTGCACCCGAAATCGTATTGACCTATCGCCAGATTATCACGCACATGCACGGTAGGGGAAAGATCTGATCTAATGAATAATTTAGAACTTGACATTTGTTATATCAGTGTATATAGTTTATCATAAGGTAAGCCTTAACAATGATGAATCAAAGTGTCTTGAGTTTTCATGAGAAAACTTTGAAAATACGGTTTAGAGTTGGGTATTAGCAGTCCATGTTTGTCATAAGAGGCGACTAACTGTATAGAAGGGTCAGGCTCACTGACTTGGCTGATGCAGATCATATGCGAGACCAGTGCTCGTGATATCATCCATTGAACTGTTAGGTCCTGACTAGATTATTTACAGATCACGGATATAAAGCTGGAATATTTGTGTGGCGTTAAGCAGCTAGCAAACAATATTGTAATTGGCAGGCAACGACGGCCATATGGCCAAAATAGATATGATCAAATTCGGCCGAATTTTGCGCCTATTTTCATTCCGGTTTTAGAATCGTGAAATTTCGACATTGTGTCTTGCGTAACCAGTAACTGATACACACATTTAGGCAATACAACTTGTGTTAGCAATTATGTGTTTATATACTAATTTGGTTGAAAATTCAACAGGCCCAAGACCAGAGTCTTTCAGAATCCAGACCTTAATGCCTCTTGAACGGGTCAACATGTCGCACATATGGCGAATACAATGTAACAATAGATACATTTATTTCCAGATCCATACGTTAAGATCTACCTACTCTACAACGGACAACGGATAGCCAAGAAGAAAACCCACGTGAAGAAACGTACACTGAACCCGGTCTTCAACGAATCCTTCCTGTTCGACGTGCCCTACAACGAGGGCCTACAGAACATCAGCCTGGAACTGCTGGTACTTGACTGGGATCGTATGACGAAAAACGAAGTCATTGGTCGTCTCGAAATTGGCGCCAAACTGGTCGGACAAGAGGCCAATCATTGGAACGAGGTTATGAATTGTCCCCGGAAACAGATTGCCGAGTGGCATAAACTGAAGGAATAGAGACTGAGCCAATGTGAAAGACGGGATGAAAGACTGAGATTTTATTTGTGAAAGGACGCGAGTGTGGTTCATTTATTATACGGATTGACCAGGACCATCCTCAGACAGTGCTAAATCTTGAAATCGCCTTGCAGAGTCTTTGACATACCTTTTGGTGATTAGCCACATACTATTGTTCCAAGTTCTTACTACATTTGTAATACCGATTTCTTATGAAACATATGAAACCATTCTCAAAGGTAATATTTATTTAGAAATCTTTCAACTTTTCTCGGAACAATATCTCCTTTTCAGGACTGAGTGGACAGTTATGTCACGTGTTTCGGATCCCTGAGGACAGGATTTAGAGGATATTGGGTGAAACTAGAAAAGCAATTGGTACTTTCTTCTCATCCTTAATACGTTTTACATCAATTGTTATTATGAAAATCATGTTTGATTTCACAGTAGCTTTATAAAAATCCCATCTCAAGCTTTTAGCAAGTTCGTTTTGAGATGAAGTAACGTTGCATTATCTTTTGTGCAAAATGGTGTGTTTTACAGTGGATTCATGTTTATTCTAATTACGTTTAATTCAAAGAAAGCCATAAATCGTAATAAACATGAAGGATGTAGGGTATGATTTAACCTTTGTCAAAAATTAGTCCATAACCGAACTTCTTTTTTACCAACAAAAAGGCATCTTTGTAAAATTAAACATGATTTCTCGAGGTGACACGTCACTTCTGTTGCATTTTGAAAGTTACACCCAAGACATTTATCGATGATGTAAATATTTGTTAGAATTGTGCATGTACAATGCTTAAAACGAATGCTGTTCGACTGTGTCTGGATCTAACAGCCCTGCCATGGATACAGAGTTAGATGCAGCTTTAGCGTTACCCGATAATTTACATTATCCTCACTGGAGAGAGGGCAATAAATTCTTCTTATGATCAAGAACATCCGTCACCATTCAACCCTTTCTGGCTATTGCAAGACTCGTTCCCCCGTCGATGCTGTGCGGGAAAGTAAACTCAACCAATCGGAAAGCGCGTATGACTGGGTACATTTGTCGACGAACCCCTTTAAATATTTTTTTGAAGTTACACACGCATTTAATTCATACCAAAATGCCAGTAAAATGTTGTAACACACGTATGAAAATTGCAGCCGTTTTAGATTTAGATAATGCCCATTTTATATTTGCAATTCAGATGCGTACATCAATTTCATTCGCTATTACCTTTTGCACGGAAGAACCACGTAAATATAATGGCTTCAAGAGGGGAACGAGTCGCCATTCGGCTTTTCCGGAATGGCATGACTGGTCACGAATGACTCTAAAACTGGGCAGGGCATTTTTAAGCAGCCTTTCAAAATGTATATGTATTACAAATGACCAACGCCGTTCTTGCTAGTTGGTGATAGTGGTACGTGAAATTCAGCTCATTTTGACAGCAGCACTGGCATCCATCATCCAAGCTCAAGGAACAGGATAATACATGTTACAGGATTGTGTTCCAGCCATGTATCAGGTGGCCATGGCGGTGCGGTATAATGGTACTTGTGGCTATATTACAGCTGTGTTTCTCGTCTGTTAACGTGTCCATGTTCATACCGCTTACATATCGTTGTTATAGCTCAACGTGACGACGTCAGATGTCACTTGTTCATAGGCTATATATATTCGCTGTAGATAAACAAACGTTGTGATATTGTACGTACTTAAGGGCATATGTGATCCTACAAAGTTCAATCAAACCAGTTACTCGGATGAATTTCTCAAAACCCTTCCCTTCCCCTACCTCTCCCCTCTCCCATCTTTCAGGTGAACTTCACCTTGGTAATAAAAACGTCAAATTACCGACGCAACAAGGGGAGATCACTCTGTAGGATTATGTCCAGCTGAGATTTTGAAGATACCACCATTCTGATGTTCTGTGAATATAACCACCGGTATTTGTTGTGAATATGTGATATTATATTGTTTTTATCTGAGACGGAAGTATTTGTCGTTGCTGTTTTTCAACCGTCACTTCCGCGTTTACCGGTTTTCGTAAATGGACTGCGCATGCGCAAAGGCATGCCAAATCATTGGATAAATATCATGTTACTTAGTGCTACAGTTGAAATATTTCGGTCTATTAAAGTAAAACAAATATTCACAAGCATTTGTGTAGAAACAAAACACTTATTGTGGTTAATATGTTACGATGTAAACATTCTTGACCGGTAGCACAAAACTGTCATGCTCATTTCCCATTGAAATGTTTTCCACCTTTCGTATGAGTTATAATCCTTGACGATTGTTTTGTATACAGTTAACGGATCTACGAAATACCACCGATTGTACATAAAAACTACATGTTGACGTATTCTGTTACTATAGTGATCTGTCACGATCAATGTTCCACGATTAGTATTTTATGTTTATCCAAGTCTCCCACAACTTCTACATACCTGCTCTCTGTCATCTAACGATCGTTCTTGTAAACACTCACTTGTTGAAGACAAACAAAGTAATCACGATTAGTATATAAGGTTTGAATTTGCGGTTGTGCATACACTACAAAACTGCCATTTCAAAGGCTTGCACTGTTATACCCATCGTAAAGGCAAACATACCGTACAGTCATTGCCCGCGAAGACGTAACATTATATTGATATATTTTACCACAGGAAATAGTTGTGCGAGGATCAGACTAATTACTTGATGTGTATGTGTTTTTAATTTATTTCTCCTCTCCCAGATTATATTTTGTTACCTTTTGTGTATGTCATTACCACGTAGAAGAAAAATATGTAAAATCATGTCAAAAATATAAATAAAATCTTTGTATATATGATATATTTATGTATATTTTCAACCGTTGGGATATGCCAAATAAAATGAATGTGAACATTCAAGATTGGTTTAAATGTTGTTATCTCCATTTGGAAATGTCACTCTCTCGCGACACAAAAGTAAAGACTATGTTTCTCCTCGAAATTAATGATTTTTTTGGTATTTATTTGGCATATCTCCATTAGTAATAGTGACGTATATATGGTTTATCTATCGTGCAGATATTTTGGAACACTTAGCAAACGAAAGGGGTTATTTAAAAAAAACATCTTGGAAGAGCTACGGACAGAAGATTGATGAATTGCGAAGGAAATAAAAATGCTAAACTTTTATGACCAGAATGCTTTGGAAGATCAAAGAAAGTTACTTCATGTTTGTAGGACATGATGTTTCCTACTGAACACAGGGCAATGCAATACAACCACATACAAGATAGCTACCTGCACTGTAGGGGATATTACCGTGACCATGCCGTGCCATGGGTGCTATATAACACTAGAATGCAGCCATACCACTGAGTACTGGTACCAATACTGTTGTCCTGCTGGTGACATTCAAACTTTGCAATCTTCATAATTTACAATATGTCTTCTTTGTGTTAGCCACGGCATGTGTTGTGCAGTTGGATACTCTCGTCATGAATGGGAACATTTACGAAAGAAATATATGGAATTGGTATACAACCGGAAATCGTGTCAGATATAGGCACCAATGCATTTAAAAAATATTTATTGTGGTGCAGACTTAGCGCAAGATTTTATACAAAAATATTTCGAATGATATAGATCTACCTTTTTTCGTTCGGTATAAATATCAATCACAAGTATTCGAACAATAGCATGCCTAACCTGCTACATTTTGAAATAACATTTTCTGAGAATATCTGATCACCTACGGTGCATAGAAGTGTCTTGTACATGGATAAATGTGTCCATTCACAATGGAGATCCGTGACATTCGCTTTCTTTGTATACCACTTCCATAAAAGAATTGATTAGAACCAGTAATAACTGTAGGTGCTTTATGAACCAACCGTCATGTGTATCCAGCTCAACGCTGATGTCGAATATTGCAAGTTGTGGTCATGCATCATGTCAGATAGATAGCATTCATGGTGGACGTCAGCTGACCGTTACACAGCTGGTGTGTGGCTACTGGAATTAGTGTGTCATCCAGCGGTAACGATTCCGTGTAATAAAGAGAGCTATTCTTGTTGAATCGGGTGTCATGTTTTCATTTAATGTACACCCGCGAAGGTCCGGGTTAGAACTGACCTTCAGCAACCCATGCTTGTTGTAAGAGGCAACTAACGGGGTCGGGTGGTCAGGTTCGCTGACGCGGTTGACACATGTCATCGTATCTAATTGCGTAGATCGATGCTCATAATGTTTAAGACTGGATTGTCTGGTCCAGAATCGATTATTTACAGACCGACGTCATATAACTGGAATACTGCTGAGTGCGGCGTTAAACAACAAACCAACCAACCAACCATCATTTTATGTAAGCAGTCAGTGACCTTGATGACCCGCCTACGCACTGGGATTGAAGCCAGATTGTGGTTAGCTGTCGATGAGATCAGTCTTGATTGTTATTTTATTATGGATTTACTTCCTCGACGTTAAGCCGGTGAAGGCTCATGAAGGGTTATGAGCAATAACAGTGGTTTGTCTTGAGCCAGTGTGGAATCCCAGCTTCGTCCTGATCACAACTTTGTTTGTTACCAAAATACACATGATAAAATACCCTGTATTAACATGATTGAAAAATGGGCAAATTAATTAATCCCAAAACGTGTGATGTGGTGTCTTCATTACACAAAGACAACAGTTATGACAACGGGGTAGCCTAGTGGTGTAAGCGTTCGCTAGTCACGTCGAAGACCTTGGTTTGAATCCACACATTTCTGAAGCCCAAATCTGGTGTTCCACGATTTGATATTGCTGAACAAGTGTTTAAAGCAGCGTTAAACCCAACTCCCTCACACACTCAAGAAATCTCATTCACTCATTCACACGATGTCTGGCTCTCAAAATCAAATCTAATGATGAATGTAATCAGACGTCGTCCGTTCTGTGAGGACTTTTAATGAAAACACTTTTTTTGTCAGCTGATGTCGGTTCCAGGAGGTTCTTCTCAACCGTATCTCATTCCTCTTCGGTAGGCCCCAAGGATTCCTGCTACGAACTTGACTTCTATTGATAAGGAATCAAAGAGCAGGATGGAGATAGTTTACTCAACGGAGTGCAGACTTTGTTGAAGGCTTTACTCCCTCTCACCTTCAATGCAGAATTGTTTGTACAGAGGACTAAAATAGTTAAGGGTGTGTAACGTGAAGTCTTGGAAATACACCTTCAAAGTCAGACTCTCATATAGGAAATCAATATAGAGATTATAATTACATTTCAGCCTCAGAAAAAATGTACATTAAACACCAGTCCTAACATGTGGGCTTTCTTCTCATAAACATAAAATGATTTTTAAGACACTTCATTTCTCCGAATTTGTCTGGAACAATTTTACCAATCAATACGGGGAGAATACCTGCAGAGAATTCTGACGGAGTGTTTACTTGGTGTTTAACAACGAGAAGAGAATGGCGTGGGATGTGTGGGCAACCAATATTCCCTTCACAGACTTGAAATTACGTTTCTAAGGTTACCATTGATGACCTGGCGTTGTCAGGGTTACTATCTCTGACGTCAGTCGTCATGTTCACGTGTTGACGATGGAAACGACTCTCGATGAGACAATCTGTGCATGGATGATCCTCAGGCAGGACTTACCATTCCGCACATTGTCTCATTAACTTGGTGCGACCCAACAATTACCTGTGTCGAGCGTGTGTCATAAACAGTGGCAAGTGTGGGTTAGACCTCTGATGAATTCCATCAAATTGCTTTGCGTGAATAATAGATCTGGTTTACGAGACCCAGTAATATGGAGGTAAAGTCAAATTGACATAAGAAGCATTGACAATACAGTAACACCAATACAATACTAGACATTTCAAATGAGGTTACAATTCAACCAACTTAGTAGGTTCGTTCATTACATGTACCGTACAGCTGGTCTGGTTTACCTCGGAATAGATTTTATAGGGAAAGGGATCATGATATATGAAGGAGGGTTAAGAACTAGCTCCTTCATCATCGATTTCAGAGATGTTTTTCACTTCTGTGGAAGTGGCAGCTATATTTAGATAGAAAGTGATTTTGGATGAGCTTTAGGTTGAACTAAACTGAGACCTGTATTGAACACAGGTTCTTTTTACTCCTCCGGCAAGCCTTTTTATACAGAGTATCATCTGTGTACTAAAGAAATTAACACGTGTATCCTGTTGACTTGAGGCTATTTATCAATTTGAACTTGGATAAAACGTAAACTAATTAGGATCTGCACGGTCAGGGGTTTAGAAGAAATAGATAAAATATCACATGGTACACTGCACCACCACTGGTGCCAGTGGTATTACTTTATCAGTACCTGCATATAATGCATTTTTTTCTTGAAAATAATCGATTCAATTAGAGTTTTTGATTTAGGACATGCGAACAGTAAATTCGATGAAATCAGGTTCATTTAGCAGTTTTCTTTTGCCTTTCCTAGTTTCTCGTCGATCTAAATCATTTGAAACATCTTTTTTTTTTTCATTAATCTATATCTTTTCACCATCGTTGTAAAACAATTCTTTTATTTAGTCTTTACCGACAGTGCCATTCATGTCAGTTCACATCTTCAGAAAGAAAGAAAGGCAACAAAGCTACACATTTCTTCTGTCTTTTTAGGATTATTCATCTATATCAATATCATGTTTCATGTTGGGTCATACTAATTGTGGAAGGAATTTTAGGAAAGATGTTTTGCATCATGAAAAAGGATCTAAGGAAATGGAACATATTCCGGAAGAAGAATCCTTTCATTATTTTCAAAAATATACACCATCCAATTTCCCTCAGGCGAAACCTCCCTTTTATCTACAGAAAGATGTAGGATGAAATTGAGGCCTGAAATAGACACATGTGACACAGATTACAAGAACATAAATAATTATGCGTTGACATTTACCAAGGTGAAAGAAAAACGTGATTAATTATAGGAATTTGATATTTCAGAGAACGCTGAGGGAGCTTTCGATTAACAAGTATATAGACAGGATAGGTGCTGTACACTGCCGAGAATAACGGATCGATCAAATCATCTTCTAAAAATGTAGGTTTCAGATAATTTGAGCTTTGTGATTATTCGAATGAACTGCGAGGTTGCCTTTAGTTTTGCTAGTGGGACCTGGTGGCTTCAACGTCTGTACACAGTTGTCTCCCTTTACCGTGACAAGATCCGATGGTTATAGGTTACAATACCAGATCCGACCCAGATGTGTTCCTGGTCTGTCATTATTCATGAGGCCCCTACCACTACTTCGAGCTGGCCAAACTGTGATATTACTCACATAGGCGGATCCAGGAAGTTTGAAAGGTGTTTGGGGTGTGTGTGTGTGTGTGTGTGTGTGTGTGTTTGTTTGTAAAACCACCCCAATCCCCCTTGGCTCCGCCAACGCATTTTTTTTCAATGTTGTCTTAAGTCATTTTCAAAAGGGGGGGTCCAACCCCCTGGAAACACACACCACCACCCCCACCCCCCTTTGGATCCGCCACTGACTCAAATAGTGGTCAAGGAGGGGGCACACAACCTCACTGACCAGGGACGGAATCTGACCAGGCGGTTTTAAAGGAGATGGACATGATATAATGACTGAGAACTGTCACCAGAACTTGCAAGCATCATCACCACTGAATCCACGTGCAGATTGGACTGGTACTGCGTCACAATGATGGGTAGGGAATTCGGCTTCATGCATGTTCTCGATCAAGTCCCCCTCCAAGTGTTTGTCAGGCATGTTGGTCCGGGTTAGGGCCAAATACATCTATCCTCATTCTTTACCCGTACCCGTACTCATATTGGTATCCGAAGATAGAACCCATGACATCAACATTTGTAATTTGTATACGTGTTCTGCATCCGTGTATGTGTTTCCATCCCGGTCCGACGACGTTTGGGATACGTGCAGCAGTAACTACAGATAAGTAACTACTAGTAAGTTTTTCTTCTTCTTCTTCCTCCACTACTACATTCAATTGCATCCCATTAACGTAGAACGTTGCATTTAATGTCAGTCACTGGATTGTCTGGTCCAGACACGATTACTTACTTACTACTACTACTACTACTACTACTACTACTACTACTACTACTACTACTACTACTACTACTACTACTACTACGGCAGTAGTGGTACTGCACCTCCATGTATGATAAATTAATCCCAAATGTCTCGCTTTGACTCATTCGAACCCTATCACAAACATACTCAACTAATATAAATTTTCGTTTTTTTACTTGTAATGCAAATAAAACAGGATAATATTAACATCTGAATGATGAAAATACCTTTGGCAATGTGCTATAAATGACATGAAGCCACGTGAGCTGGAGACACGAGGTGTCAAAATCACAAAGTGCATGCCTTTGGCATTATTGTTAAAATAGCATGTAACTGACCATGACTTTTGAAAATAATATTGAAGTAGGAGAAAAAGATTAATTTAAAGACTAAAAACACAACAGAGTCATGTGCAAGCAATATTGAATCCCGAAACTCTGTTTCTTACTATGCAACATTCCGGCTGACGCGATATTTCGCAATGTGAAATCTGCGTGGTTGAGGAATGCATCCATGTCACTGCAGAGTTTGCTTTCGGGTTGAAGTGGTTAGGGCGTCTGTCCGGATAGCGGAAGGATAGCGTCATGATTTGATATGTGTAAATTTAAACGATGGTAATTGGTGTTACCTGGCGCACGACAGGACAGGTGGGGTCGGAGTGAGTGATTTTCCTTTGAATAACTGAAGCATGTTGCCTAAGAACTGGTACTCTGTAACCGGCATTAGTTCCCCACAACACACACGTACACACGGGTACAGACAGACAGACACACACACACACACACACACACAAAATAATGTATTAACAGAAACATAAACTCAAACACAAACATAACACATATTCACACTTAAATACACACAAACATAAACTCAAACACAAATACGACCCGTGAAGATCCGGGTTAGAATATTGATCTTCAGTAACCAAAGCTTGTTGTAAGAGGCGACTAACGGGATCGGGTGGTCAGGCTCGCTGGCTTGGTTGACACATGTAATC